TCCGCCGACGGCCGTCGAGGCGCGTGCCCCAGACCCCCTCGAGTTATGACAAAATCACGACGGGAGGTTTTTCATGATTTTTGGCTTCTGGGGGCCCTTACCGGCCCTCGGGGCCGTCAAAAAACGACTCAGGACGAAGAACCGGTCCTGGGGAAAGGGTCCAGACCGCTGGGGGTCGACGTCATGAAAAGTTCATGACGTCGGGGGTCTGGGGCTGGTGGTGTGGGGAAGCCTCCTCGTCCTCCTCGTCCTCCTCGTCCTCCTCCTCCTCCTCCTCCTCCTCTTTCTCTTTCCCCCTCCTCCTTCTCCTCCTCCTCCCTCTCCTCCTCCCTCTTTCTCTCCTCCTCCTCCTCCTCCTTCCTCCTCTCCTCCTCCTCCTCCTCCTCCTCCTCCTCCTCCTCCCTCCTCCTCCTCCTCCTCCTCCTCCTCCTCCTCCTCCTCCTCCTCCTCCTCCTCCTCCTCCTCCTCCTTCCCTGATGCAAGCCCCTGGTCAGGGGGGATGCGTCGGCCCCTCGATCGCCCACCGGTCGCCGAGGGGGGCCCCGCAGCCCGCCCCGCCCCCGGGAGTGTGCGGGGAGTTGCGCCGATCGGGGGGGGGCCCGTCGCCGATCCGTCGGTCGTGGACTGCTCGCCGATTCTACATGGACGACCTCAACGAGCTCACCTCGTCGATTTTGCTAGCTCGAAGTCAATTCACATTTCTCCGCCGAGTAATGGCGGCTTCGCCAGCTTCGTCTTGCGCGGGGGACGTCGGGGTTCCGACGGTCGGTCGGTGTTCCCCCCCCCCCCCCGCGCCTCCTCTGTCGTCCCCCTCCGAGGGCCGACTGCGGGCCGACGACGGCCCCGCCGACGACCGACGACGGCTACGTCGACGCCTGACGCCCGGGAGTAGAGGAGAGGAGGAGGAGGAGAGGAGGAGGAGAGTGGAGGAGGGGAGGGAGGATGAGGAGGAGGAGGAGGAGGAGAGAGGAGGAGGAAGGAGGGAGGAGGAGGATGAGGGCGGGAGGAGAGGAGGAAGGGAGGAGGAGGAGGAGGAGGAGGAGGAGGAGGAGGCGGAGGAGGAGGAGGAGGAGGTGCGCGTGTGTCGTGGGCGGGGTCAGGGCGGAAGAGCTTTGGCCGAGGTCGGGCCGCTGGGGGCCCCCCTGGCAGGCCCCCTTGGCTTGTGGAGGACGCTCAACGGAGAGGAAGCATGTTGCCAAGTAGTTTCCGGATGTCTAAAACATGCGTTAAACAGGTTTTCAACATGTAAACAGCATGTGCAATCCATGTTTAAAACATGCTTCCGACATCTCCAACACATTAATTCGATGATAGGACTGTTAGGGTGTCCATTGTCGTGGCGTCCACAACCCTTGGCCGCCGCAGGCCAAGGCGGGAGGTCGCTGGCCGCCCTCGGCCCCTCTTCTGGGGCCCCCTGCCAGGCCCCGGGGCCCTGCACAGAACGACTCGGGGCGAAGAGCCGGCCCCGGGGAGGGGGTCGAAGGCCCACGCGGTGCCACGCGGCGGAGATGAAAGCGCATCGTTTTGGGGATCTTCTATCGGTGGCGGAGCGTCGTGACCTGCCTGTAGGCCCGCCACAAAGGATGAACCCTTCGTGGCTTACGCGGAGTGCTCTTGAAGCATATTTGGCTCAGGCCGTCTTGTTTTTGAATGCGTCGGCCTCGTGCCATAGAACAAGAACGCTTTCACACGGTTTTGGTAGCAAGAGCATGTCGCTGTAGACTGCGGGGGCGGTCGGTCCCTGCTCAAGATCTGGGAACGGCGGGCGCCAGGCAACGGACGGCGGACGGACGGACGGGCAAACGAGCTGCCGTCGGCTCCCCTTGGCGGCCGTCGGCGGCGACCGACGACGGGCGACGACGAGCGACGGGCGACTGACGCCTGGCGTCGGGCGGCGCACGGAGGGACGGGCACAGCGAGGACCGGCGGCGGCTGACTTGGCCTCGGGGCACCTTCGTGTTCCCCTTTTGGGGGCTGTCTCGGGCGCTTTTTGAGGCCGCCTTGGGGGCCTCGCGGCGATCCTCTCGGAGCCCTCTTGGGGCGTTTGGGCGCCTCTCGGGCTGCTTGGGAGCCCTCTGGGGCCGTCTGTGAGCAAGCGTGGGCTGTTTGGAGACCCGCAGGCGCAGTCTTGCGCCCATGTTGGCCCGACCATTGGCCGTCTGGGACCTTGCAGGGTCACATGAGTCTGGCGGTCCCGCTGGCCCGACCCCCCCTTCCGAACTGGCCAGATCATGTTCCCAGGGGAGGGGTTCGGGGATGTGCAATTATCCTGGAGATTGTTTTTCATGCTTCTTTGTTTTGTTGAAGATCTGCATCGAAAATCACAGAATCACCGATCAACGATTTCATCAATTCTTTTAAACTTCGTCAACTATTTGTTCAACCGTCGCATCAATCATCAACTGTTTACTCAACGTTTGCGAAACAGTTCGATATTTTCATCAACGTCTATGCCAACAAACAATCAAGGATATCTCAAACAAATATTTCCTGCGTGGTTGAGCCCAACTCCCGGCTCAGCTCTGGAGACGTTCAGAGGCGGCCGTCGTCGTCGTTGTCGTCGGCGTCGTCGGCGGCGTCGTCGTCGTCTCCGAGGGTCTCGAATGGCCTCCAGACGAATTCAGGGATCTCGCGAAGCCTGTGGAGACTTGAAGATCTTCACATGCAGCTGTCGTCGTCGACGTCGTCTCATTCTTGTCCTCGTCCTCGGTCTTCTCGTCGTCGTCATCGTCGTCGTCGCTTCCGAGAGCTTCGAGAGGCCTGCAGACGCTTCCAGAGGCCTCTGGAGACTTCCGGAGACCTGCAGTGGCGAGCGTCATCGTCGTCGTCGTCGTCGTTGTCGCCGTCGTCGTCGTCGTCGTCGTCGTCGTCGTCGTCGTCGTCGATGTCGTCGCCGTTTTCGTTGTCGTTGTCGTCGTTGTCGTCTCCGCGGGCCTCGAAGGGCCTCCAGTCGCCTCCCGAGGCCTGCAGAGACTTCCCGAAGCCTCTGGAGTCTTCATGAGATCTTCAGAAGCGGCCGCGCCCTCGTCGTCGCCCTCGTCGTCGTCGTCGTTGTCGCCGTCGTCGTCGTCGTCGTCGTCGTCGTCGTCGTCGTCGTCGTCGCCCATGTCCTCGGCCTCGGCCTCGGCCGCGTCCACGTCGTCGTCGTCGTCCTAGGCCTCTTCCTCGCCGTCGTCGTCGTCGTCGTCGTCGTCGTCGTCGTCGTCGTCGTCGTCGTCGTCGTCGTGGGCGTCGTCGTGGGCGTCGTCGTTGTCGTCGCGTTCCCCGTGCTCGTCCTCATCCTCCTGGTATGCGTTTCCGAAGGCCTCGTCGGGCCTCCAGACGCCTTCAGAGGCCTTCGCAGACATCCTGAGGCCTCTGGAGACTTCCAGAGACCTTCGGTGGCGACCGTCGTCGTAACCGTCGTCATCGTCGTCGTTATTGTCGTCGTCGTCGTCCTCGTTCTCGGCCTCGTCCCCGTTCTCGTCCTCGTTCTCGTCTTCGTCTTCGTCCTTGTCCTGTCCTCATCCTGTTACAGTTTCTCGTCGTCGTAGTCGTAGTCGTCGTCTGGCGCCCAGCCCCCCCCCCTGCGGGGCCCGCCCACGTTACCGTTACCCCCCTACGTGGGTCCGACCCCCCCTTCCCGTCAAGGACGTTACGGGGGGGAATCAAAAACCCTCCTCCACACGCCGAGGAAAACACGCCAAGGGGTCTGCGAATTCAAACATCTTTTTCAACATTCTTTCCCAGCAGCAAGACATTTTGAAATCGCCCTTCGCCTTCTTGTCGGCGGAGGCGAAGGCGACGTCGGCGTTGTCGTCGTCGGCAACGACGCCGACGGACGATGATGGACAACGACGACGACGACGACGACGACGACGACGACGACGGACGATAACAACGACGACGACGACGACGGACGATAACGACGACGACGACGACGGACGATAACGACGACGACGACGACGACGGACGACGACGACGGACGGCGGCGACGACGAGAGACGGCGTCGGCGGCGTCGCCGCCCTTCTGCTCCCAGGGCCAGCGACGCCGCGGGCGCCGGGCACGCCGCCGCCCGGCGCCACGCCGCGGGGCTCGCAGGGCGCCACGCCGCCGCCGCCGCCCCGTCGCCGCCGCCCGCCGCCGGCCTCGCGGGCTCCCGCCGCCCGGGGCAGCCTCCGAGACCGGCCCGGGCCCTCGGAGCGCGCGGTCGCCCCGAGTCCTTCTTGCGCTCACGGGCCCCGGAGGGTTCCTCCGGGGCTGTGGCGACCCGTCCTCTCCCCTCCTCCCTTCCCCGTCCTCCACCAGCTCCTCCTCCTCCTCCTCCTCCTCCTCCTCCTCCCTACTCCGCTGCTTGCTCCGCCTCCCCTCCTCCTCCTCCTCCTCCTCCTCCTCCTCCATCTCCTCCTCCCCTTCCCCGTCCTCCACCTTCTCCTCCTCCTCCTTCTCCTCCTCCTCCTCCTCCTCCTCCTCTGGTCGCATACGGCCCTGGGGGGAAACCGTGCCCTGGGGGGAAACCGTGCAACGAGCCCTCCTCCGAATGGTGTGTTTCCAGGCCATCACTCGGAGTCTCCAGCGGCCGTTCCAGACGATCCAGGCCTCGGAAATCACTCGGCGAGGCGCAGCTGCTGCAACGCAGCCCACGAAAGCATGCGGAAACCCCGAATCCTGAAATTGACTCACCAGACGGCGTGGTCACCGCGCCGTCTGCGAGGCTCGAATACAGACCTGCGACGTCAGGACTGCTTCAATGTCGATCCCTCAAGGTCTCGACCCATTCCCAGGGACTGGCTGCCGTTCCCAGGGCTTGGCGAGGGCCCCCGTAGGCCGAACGAACAGAAAAGACCGCCCCCTGGCTCTCTGTCACGACATCACGGGGTCTGGGGAGTGGCCGTCGTAACTTCTGCGCCCTGGAGTGCTTCTCGTCCTGAGCATCCCCTGGGGGCCCTGGCCCTTCGGCGATGGGGACCTCATGTGCTCTTGGCCCACGCTCTTGTGGCCGTGTTCCCGCTGTGCGCAGACGGGAGGCGGCCTCACAGTGGACGTGGCCGAGACCTGCTCGGGGCCGCCGGCTGTCTGGGGAGGCTCCTGGGCTCGGGCGCGGCCGAGCCAGACGAGCCCGAGGCCGAAGTCCCTCGCCAGCGGCCAGGAGCCCTTGAGAGGAGCTCCGTCCGCAGACCTTCGCGGTGCCTCTGCTTCCTCGCTCACGGCTGCGCCCTCGAGCTCGGAACCCCTGCTTTTCGTGGCTGTTCGTCGGCCTCCGGTCGTCGGCTGTTCGTCAGTCGGTCGGTCGGTCGTCGGTGCCGTCGTCGCCGTCGTCGCCGTCGGTCGGTCGGTCGGTCGGTCGGTCGTGTCCTTGCCGTCGTCGCCGTCGTGAGGCCTCGACCCCTCCGAGGTGCCTCCCGGAGCGCGCGCAGCCCCCTGCGGGCCGTCGCGCCCGACTTCCGGCGCCTGCCGCTGACGCCCGGGCGGCTCGAGCTGGGCCCCGAGAGGCCCGCCTCGGAGGGGCTCCTCGTCCTCGTCCTCGTCCTCGTCCTCGTCGTCCTCGTCCTCGTCGTCCTCGTCCTTGTCGTCCTCGTCGTCCTCGTCCTCGTCGTCCTCGTCCTCGTCGTCGTCGTCGTCGTCGTCAGCGGCAGCGGCAGCGGCAGCGGCAGCGGCAGCGTCAGCGTCAGCGTCTCCTGGTTGTGCCAAGAACAGGTCACGCGGGGAGTTGTTTTGCCATTTTCGGCCTCTTGGGGTCCTCGCGGGGCCCTGGGACCGTCACAAAGCGACTCGGGATGAGAAGCGGTTCCGGGGGAATGGGACGAGACCTCCGGGAGTCTGCGTTGTCCGCGGCCGTGCTCGTCGTCGTCGTCGTCGTCGTCGTCGTCGTCGTCGTCGTCGTCGTCGTCGGTGTCGTCGTTGGTCGTGGTCCCTCGTCGCTCGCCGCCAGCGTTGCTCGTCCCTGAGATCATGGTCTCGCATTTCTTCACACCATGCGAGTTGGCCTTGTTGCGGGCCCTGAGACCATCACGGGTCGATCCGGCTTGGGAAACTCCACAGGAAGATTGGGTTAGGAATCCAATTTTCTCGTAATGTATGATCTCAGGGTCAGCGTCGCTCGTCGCCAGCGTCTCTCGGCGTCGTCATCCGTCTTCATGGCCGTGGCCGTGCTCGTCGCTATCGATGCGTCGTCGTCCGTCGTCTCGGCAGTCGTCTGTGGTCCGTGGTCCTGCGCCCGTCGTCGTCGTCGTCGTTGTCGTCGTCGTCGTTGTCGTTGTCGGCGTCATCGTCCTCGTTGTCGTCGTCGTCGTCGCCGTCGTCGTCCTCGCCGTCGTCGTTGGGGACGGCGGTGGAGAAGGAGGATGAAGGAGGATGGTGAGGAGTGTCAGCGAATACGGAACGAGTGTTGCATGATGATGATGATGATGATGATGATGATGATGATGATGACGATGACGATGATGATGATGATGATGATGATGATGATGATGATGATGATGATGATGATGATGATGATGATGATGATTGTGATGATGATTGTGATGCTCATTCTGACGACGGCAGCCACGATGATGATAGTGGTGATCATGATGACGATGACGATGACGATGCTGCTGCTGATGATGATGATGGTGGTGGTGCCGATGATGATGACGATGATGTTGATGCTGACGATGATGATGCTGCTGTTGCTGCTTATGATGATGCTGCTGATGATGATGCTTAGGATTATGGTGATGATGATGGTGGCAATATGATGCTTGTGATAACTATGATGATGTTTCTGATGATTATGGCGATGCTGATCGTGATGATTATGAGAATGCTGCTGCTGATGATGATGCTGCTGATGCTGATGATGCTGCTGAGGATGAGGATGAGGATGAGGATGAGGATGAGGATGAGGATGAGGATGATGATGATGATGATGATGATGATGAGATGATGATGATGATGCTGATGATGATGCTGATGATGATGATGATGATGATGATGATGATGATGATGATGATGATGATGATGATGATGATGATGATGATGATGCTGCTGATGATGATGATGCTGATGATGATGATGATGATGATGATGATGATGGAGTATGAGGAGAATTACCAGCAGGAGGATGAGTAGGAGGAGAACGGTGAAACATAGCATTGACAGTTTCGAATGCATGCTGTTGTTTCAGTTGTGTTCCTACGTCGGGCCCTTTCGATCAGTTGTCAGCTCGACGGGATCTTGCAATCAACGGTACTGATGACCCGGATGATCTCTGTGGGTCCGTGGCCTGGCCCGAGGAAAAGTGCGAGGAGCACGAGGAGTAGCGAAGAGGAGCGAGGACGACGAGGGAAGGTAGCCGACAAGTTAGTTTGTTGGGCGCCCCCCCCTCGGAGCCACGGTGGGGCGGAGCTGGAAAAACAGGTCAGCACGGTTCCCAGGAGGAGCCCGTGGCTTGTTCCAGAGCGAGGGGGAGGGGAGGAGGAGGAGGAGGAGGAGGAGGAGGAGGAGGAGGAGGAGGAGGAGGAGGAACAGGAGCAGGATCAGGAGCAGGATCAGGAGCAGGAGCAGGAGCAGGAGGAGGAGGAGGAGGAGGAAAAGGAGGCGGAGGAGGAGGAGGAGGAGGAGGAGGAGGAGGAGGAGGAGGACCAGTGTCAACCCAAGACTTATCAACGATGTTGGAATACACCCTCCCTCCAAGCTCCCTCTTCATCGGCCCCTACAAGGTTCAATACTACTGAGGGGATTGCTCCGTTGGGGGGCAACCGTGTAAAAGTCTTGAAGCGTGCCCACACACCGTTGTCAGGATTTCAACGCCACGAGTTAACGTGACTGTTACGTCTTGGCGATCCTGGATCGCGTCAGGACATCATTCCTGGGACGTTACCACCGCGAATCAGCGCCAATGCTGCGCCCTGGCAACCCTGAGTCATTTCGAAACACCGCTTCTGGTACGTTCACCAGGAGAATCCGTGAAACTCTTGCATGTGTTTAGAATAAGTGTGCGCGGCGTTACGGCGACAGCCACATTTTGAACACGACCCGCCCTCAATCCCCGAATCTCTTGCTAATTTTTAGAAACGAATGTGCGCGGCGCTCAGGTGAGAGCCACATTTTGAACACGATCCGCCCTCAATCCGGATGTTTTAACGACTGTGCGCGGCGCCAGTGCGAGAGCCACACTTTTAAAAACAAGCCGCCCTCAATCTGCGAAGCACTTGTTGCCCCATTCCGAGGGTGGCATGTTCCACTCGCCCATCGGTATGCAGGGGACCCCGAGGAGCCTGAGAACAGATGCGAGACGCGCAAGCACTGCTTCATGGGCACCTTTGATCCTGGGTCATGGCAACAGATAGCACGACTCCACAACAATATTCAGGATGGGGAAAACACACAGACACAATTAATCGTCGATTCCCCAGAAAATCTGGGAAAATATGGGAAGTGGGGGGAAGATAAAAATCCAGAAAATATGGGACAATATTTTGGATCTGGTTATTTGTGTCTATTTATTTGTGTGTCCCAGTTTCCCTTCATATCTGGCCGGCACCAGTGCACCATGGGACATGGCAAGAGCTTTGGAAGGCACCGGCACCAGAACGGGAATGTTCGGCACACCTCCAGCGCTCGAAGTTGGTGGCTGCAGTAGTTTCGCGGCAGACCATTCACTCGCCGCCCGACGTACCTGCAGCAGAACGTCCAGTGAGCGCAGCCTTCGATGCTGACCACGCGCCAGCCGTCCGTGGACATCTCCTCTCTGGCCAATCGCTCGGCACGAGCGTGAGGCCCAGCCAGTCCAGGGAGGGCGTCATCGTTTGCCTGACTTTTGAAGAAATTGGAGGCTACTGGGCCCCACTCCAAGATGCTCGCGAAGAGGATCCCAGAATCTGAGATGGCGTTGTGCGGAGAAACTTCGCTGCCCGTGCTGGAGCACAGAGTGCAGGCCGCCCCACAAACCGCGGGGCCAGTGCAATTTGTGGAAGTACCAAGGCCGCCCAGCCCACCCACACCGGAGCTAGTGGGAATCGTGGAAGCGATGTTGCCACCCACTCCCGAAGTGTCTCCGCCAGAGTCGCCCTCGACCGCCACGGCCATGACGGATGGGCTACGTCCACTGGAAGGCCGAGCAGCCGAGCGTGCAGCAGCACCAGGATGTTGAGAAGCCATGCGGTCGCCGACTTCGGACCTGATCTCGGCCTCCGCGCCCGCCTCCTTGCACCGGGCATCGGCGGCCTTGCGGAGCTCGGCATCGGCGGCGGCGTCTTCGAAGGTGACGTCTGCCGCTGCTGGCTCGGGGGGCGCGGCCGCGGGCGCCGGCTGCGCGCCGCCAGCGACGGAGCCCGCGCCGACGGCGGAGCTGCCCGCTTGGTCGATCCCGATCCGCTTCTTGGGGAGGGCCTGAGTTCCTTAGCTTTGCGCGCTGCCTCATGGGCTGTGGCTTAGAGCTTCGCGACCTCCCTGATCTTAGCCCGACTGTCGTTCTCAACATGCTCGAGCTGGCCCTGTGCCCCGCAGTTGAAATCCGAGGGGTCCCCAAACAACGGGTCGTCCACCGCGGAAACTATCCTCGTGCCGTCGGGGGTAAAGCCTGGCTGGGCGGCCATCACCTTGGCGTGATCTGCGAGCCTCTTGGCCGCCGTCGCATGGCGGAGCTTGGCCACCTTGTACTCGATGGAAGTTTGCTGGGCCTTCTCGTCAAAGCGTAGCTGCACGCTTGGCTGGGGCCGCCACGTACGCGGTTTTCTGCGTCGCCTCATGCTTCTGGTCCAGAGCGCGGGCGAGGAATTGAACATCATCATGAAGAGACCGGACGTTGACCACGCTCTGCGCGTACTTGCTCTTGGTGCGCTGAAGCGTGCCAGCGTCGTCTTGGAGCACTGTGGTCGCTGGAGTTGGGCTCGGGCGCCGAGCGGTTCTTGTCCTTGTGCCACGAGGCACTCGCGAACCTCGGGTGCGATGGGCAGTCGATGGTCCGCTTGATGCCATGGGAGGGATGCGGGTGCAGATCGATGTGGGCCGAGCACTTCGCTCACTTGCCACCATTCATGTCAACCCTGAACTTGAAGGCCCAGTTGCCGCAACCCTGGCACACCGAGAAGGCGCTATGGCGCCCTGGCATTGGCAAGCAGCTGATGGTCACACAGCTCGGAGCCGTCGCCCATCCCAGTAAGCGGCTCAATGTGCCAAGGCGGATGCACGTGGCGCTAAGGCGAGAGCCCTGGTTTGAAAACGGTGCGTTCTCCATCCTTGTGTCTGCTGTGGGCTTTTTAAGACGAAATTGCGCGGGCTTCAGGCGAGAACCGCATTTTGTCAGTGAGCCGCCTTTCATCCTTCTGGCTGCGGTAAATTGTTTAAGACGAATGCGCGCGGTGCCAAGGCGTGAACTCCATTTTGACAACGACCTGTGCTGCATCCGTATACTTGCTGCAAGCTTTCAAGGCGAGTGTGGGCGGCGCTGAGGCGAAACTCATATTACGAGCATCAACTGCGCTCAATCCTTGAAGCTTCTTTTTAGGCAAATGCGCGTGGCGCTCAGGCGAGAGGGGCATTCTGACCCCCCCTTTCCATCCATGTAACTGCTTCACTTTCATAAGTTGTGGGCACATCTCTGGTGAAACGGCTGGTCCGCCCTACCGACACGTCTGGGGATAGACAGGGAGGAAGTAGCTACAAGGAAACTTGATCGAGGAAGAAGATCGAGGGGGAAGAGGATGGGAGGGGGAGGAGGAGGAGGAGGAGGAGGAGGAGGAGGAGGAGGCGGAGGAGGAGGAGGGCGAGGAGGAGGAGGAGGAGGATGAGGAGGAGCACGAGCACCAGCACGAGCGCGAGCACGAGCACGAGCACGAGCACGAGCACGAGCACGAACACGAGCACGAGCACGAGCACGAGCACGAGCACAAGCGCGAGGAGGGCGGCGGCGGCGTTGGCCTGCAGCGACGCCCGCCAGGAGATTACAGGGGCCCCGAGCGAGACACCACCTAGACCCCGCGGCTTTCCCCAGCGGCAGCTCCTTGTTCCGATCAGTTTTTTTTGCTGACGGCCCCTACGGGGATACCCTGGAGGGCCCCGGGGGCCCCCGCATGCGGCGAGACGGTGAGATCTTTTAAGCGGGAGCACGGGCCTCCTGGTCGCTTCTCCAGGGGGGCAGTTTCGCGTCCTGGATCCGTTTTTGAAGGTCCAGCCGAAGGCGGCCCCAAGAGGCCGAATTCGACATCAACCGTTCGGATTTTGATACACATGTTTCTACTTTTGCATGTCTCATATATTTGTTTGTCGTCGGGCATCTGGGCTCAGGGCCCCGCTACCTCAGAGTATTGGTGCTGCCGAGGTGTCAAGGTATTCACATAGGAAGTGGGTGGACCCAGCCCACCCACGATACATTGTTCAATGTGTTTTTCCAGATGCGGTTCTGCAGTTCGCGTGGACTCTACGGTAGTGGGCCGTCATTGGCCCAGTCTTGTTGAGCCCCCCCACACCAGCTCGGGACGCACCTCTTGATAGTATTCGCAAAGGCTTATGGCCTAATCAAATGAGGAACCCTGTTGGCCAATTATGATGGAGCAGGTGATTAATTGGCGGTCAGCTAATGCCACTTCGCTTCGCGACAGGTCGGTCCCTTCCATTCCATTCCAGTCCATTCCCTTACCACACGGGTCTTGTCGGCGCCCCAGCGGGCTTTTTCCCTCTTGTCGGCGCCGCGGCGCTACCGCCTAGCCCCACGTAGGGCCCTGTGGGACGGACAGGCGCACTGTCCAGTGTTTCCAGTGTCCACGCTGGGCGCTCTTCGTATGCGGCGTGCGGCATGTCACTCGTATGAGGAGCACGTGCTCGTTTTTTTATTCATTGTTTTGCCGATCGGCGCGGGCCCTTGCACCCCTTCCCCCTCCCCCCAATGGAGTAGATCTTCGCTGTTTTTGGCGCCTGTCTCAAGCAGGGGTCTCCCCCGTAGAACTCACTGTTGCAAATCATGACATTCAGCAGAGGTCTGGAGCCAGACCCCCCCCCCTCCCCCCCCCCTTTCCGCCCAATGTCGAAACGCCAAATATGAAAACGCTCACCACCTTGCCCCTGGGTCATGCTTGATCGACCCTCTGTCATCACCCAGAGACTGCGCCGAGCTCGTTGGCGTGGGTTCCGTCCAGAAGAATCTCATGGGCCCAGTCCCTATCAACCGAAAAGGTATGTGGCCGAACCAAACCAGAGACCGAAAACGTGCCCGGCATTGCCATCGAAACGTAGCGTGACCGAAACTGAAAATAGCTCTCCGGGCTCGATCCACGAATTTCGAGCATGTTTCTGGCGCATTCGGAAAATCAGTCGACTTATTCGGTCGCACAGGATTTTCGGGCACAGTTTCGGCCACTACCCCCCCGATAGAGACGAGGCTGCGTGAACAATCTAGTGCGTCCAGTGTCCCTTCACGCAGGTGGGAAAGCCAAGAGGTACCAATACCACTACTCCCAGGTCCTCTCCAGGGGTGCGTTCTGACCAGGATATCGAGGCGAATCCAGCCGTGGCGACGAGGGCTTCCCAGGAGGCCCCCAAAGGCGAAATTCTAGACGCTTCGCGCATCCCAACCAACTATTGACACGCCCTCTGGACTTTTCCTTGCGGGCCGCAGAACAAAAAAGTATCCCAACCAGCCCATCCAGAAACGATGTCCAGGCGAGTTGAGAGGTGATCAGGGAAGTGCGGGAGCAAAGAGGGGTGTGAAGGAGAGAGGGGGCGAAGGAGAAAATTGGATGGATGGATGCGGGAGTAGGGAGAAGGAGGATGAATAGGATGAGGAGGAGGATGAGGAGGAGGAGGAGGAGGAGGCGGATGGGGGAGGAGAAGGATGAGAAGGGATAGGAGGAGGAAGGAGGAGGAGGAGAGCACGCAAAAGGGCTAGAGGTCTCTTGGATGCTTCTCGGAGCCTCTTGGGGTATCTCTTGGGCGTCTTGGGGGTCTCTTGGCGGTCGTGGGGGGCTCTTCGGCGTCTTGGGTGCTTCGGGGGGGCCTCTTGGGGCGCTTGGGATCCTTATGGGGGCCTCTTGGGGCCATCTTGGGGCCATCTTGGGACCTCTTGGGGCCTCCTGGGCGCTTGTTGGGGCCATCTTGGAGGATATCGATCAAACAAGAGGGGAGCTTCAATTAGTGTCCCCCCCCCCAAGAGGCCAACATGGGGCCAAAACCATTGTAATATCAATGATTTCGGTTTCCTCGCCGAGGCCGTTTTGGACGCTCCGACACCTCGCGGAACCCCCTGTCCAGGTCCAGGGGAGGGGCTAGGGGGAGGGGTAAACCCCTCCCCGAAGGGGAAGAAGGAGAGGTGGAAGAGGAAACTCCCTAAACCACCTACGCCCAGAGGGCTGGTGGGACTGCGGCAAAGGTGCGTGGGGATATCGGTACCTTTTCCTCCAGGGCAATCCCGCGGGACGAGCAGGCGCAGTGTCCAGTGTGTCCAGTGTCGCTCCTCGCCTGGCGACGACGACGACGACGACGGCGCCGAGCCCCGCCGCGAGGCTGCTGCCCCCGCCCCCGCCGCCGGCGTGCGCCCAG